ATTCCGAAGAAGAATAGAAAAATATTGGGTTACCTACTACACCAGAGTAGGAAGGCCTCCTGACTTTTGTCTAAATCTGTTCCTTATTCGGTTTTGGTGATCATCTATCTCACAGTTACATTTTGCTTGCGCATAATACTGTTGTTCTACCTTCTTGCCAATCTGTGTCCAGCACCTTTTAAACCTAGTTTACCACTTATTCTCCATTTATAGTAATGTTTTATGGTAGATGATAAGTACGTGATTTTATGAGTATACATGAGTACTTGCCAGGTGTATTACATCTGATCATTAATAATATTTTAGATTTTATCAGGCTAAGAAATGATATTTTTAAAAATAAAAATTTACTCACTTGAAAGGCGGAGTGACAGGGAAAGAGAGATACCTTCTATCCTCTATTGATTCATTCTCCACATGGCTGCAACAGCTGGGGCTGGGCCAGGCCAAAGCCAGGAGCCAGGAACTCCATTCATGTTTCTCACTTGGGTGTCAGGGAGCAGAGTAGCCAGGGCTTTAACTGGCACTAAGGTATGGGATATAGGTGTCAGGCGGCAGCTCCCCCTGCTATGCCACAGTGCTGGCCCCTAAAAAGTTTTATGAAGAATTTAGCCAGTGCCGCGGCTCACTAGTCTAATCCTCCGCCTACGGCGCCGGTACGCTGGGTTCTAGTCCCGGCTGGGGTGCCAGTTCTGCCCGGTTGCTCCTCTTCCAGTCCAGCTCTCTGCTGTGGCCCGGGAAGGCAGTGGAGGATGGACCAAGTGCTTGGGCCCTGCACCCACATGGGAGACCAGGAGAAGCACCTGGCTCCTGGCTACGGATCGGCACAGCACGCCGGCTGTAGCAGCCATTTGGGGGGTGAACCAACAGAAGGAAGACCTTTCTCTCTCTCTCTCTCACTGTCTAACTCTGCCTGTCAAAAAAAAAAAAAAAAAGAATTTAAACATGCAGAAGTAGAAGAATGTAAGGAATCTCCACATATTCATCACCTCTCATGAAGTTCTCAGCTCATGATTGATCTTGTTTTATCTGTATGCCTGCACAGCCCTTCCATATTACTTTGAACCAAATCTCAGATATCACATTTTATATGTAAATGTTTAGTGTGTATCTGTAAAAGATTAAGGTACTTTATGAAAATCATAATACAATTTTCACACCTGAAGACCTAATAATTTCTTATCAATTTGTAAGGTATTATTTTCCAAATGTAAATGAGCACCTTTGAAGATAATAACTTTCAAACTATGTGTTACAGACTGCAGTTCCAAAAATAAATACTTAAACTTTTGAGTTCATATTGATAACTTAAAGAATTGATCATTTTTCATGCTAGGGAACTAGATCATTACATTGAAAACTGGTTGAAGGGAAAAAATCAAATATTATACCTTTCATATATAACTGTACTTCAAGGAAACCATGGCTGATAAGGGGAAGTTTTTCAAGTATCCCAGATAGTAAATGAAGAAGGAATAATAGAATTAGATGTAGGAACTGATCCTCAGGCACAAAAACGAGAGACATTCTCAAGTCAGTTGTTACTTGTTTCTTGATGAAAGTATGTGAAATACCTAGTGATAGTCTCGACAGAAAAACTGAATCAGCTCTTTGGCTCTCAGGACGTTAAAGGACCACAGTTTCATGTGGCAGAATCCAGACAGTGGGAGATTTCAGAACAAGCCATCTGGTTTCTTCCACAAATAAACTGCAGAAAATAATAAGGGAGGTGAGGCTTATTGTTGAAAAGATGAGGGGTCTTCAGAAAGTTCATGAAAAGTATGTATGATGAAAAAATTAGGTATGGATTTCAGAATTTTATTCGTGCCAAAGTAAACTTACCCTTGAATTCCATTTTCCATGAACTTTTTGGAGTCCTTTGTACATTGAAGTCTTTATGAATAAAAAGGTCTGATGTCTTCAGAATGGCTTTCAGATAATCTAGCATAGTGATTGAGATACAAATGAAATCAAATTGACCATGACTTGGTAATTGTCTAAAATGAACATGAAGGTAAAAATGTTCATTATACTAGGTTGAACCACAAGGAATTTTTTTGTAAATTAAAACCTCTGAATTTCAGTAATGTCATATAGTTCAACCTAATACTACTCTACTTTTATGTGTGTTTGAAATTTTCTGTAGTAAGAAGTTAAATAGGGGCCGATGCTGTGGCATAGCGGGTAAAGCTGCCACTTGCATCCCATATGGTTACTAGTTCAAGTCCTGGCTGCTCCACTTCCAATCTAGCTCTCTTCTATGGCCTGGGAAAGCAATAAAAGATGGCCCAAGTGCTTGGGCCTCTGCACCTGTGTGGAAAACCTAGCAGAAGCTCCTGGCTTCAGATTGGCCCAGCTGCAGCTGTTGCAGCCATTTGGGGAGTGAACCAGTGGATGAAAGATCTGTCTCCCTCTCTCCCTTCCCCTTCCCCTCCTCCTTCCCCTCTCTTGTTCCACCGCCCCCCCCCCACACCTCTGCCTCTCTGTAACTCTGCCTTTCAAATAAATAAATAAATCTTTTTAGAAAAAAAGTTAAATAAAATAACAAAATAAAGCATTCAAAAGTAATTGGAAATTTTAACACTGACTCATTGATAATAAGGAACTATTATTTTAAATGCAATGACATAACACATTTACTTAATGTATATATGTATTTAATGGCTTATTTACTTATTTGAAAGGCAGAGTTAGATCTTCTATTTATGGTTCATTCCCCCAAATGGCCACAATGGCTGGAGCTGGGCTATACTGAAGTCAGGAGCCAGGAACTCCATCAGGGTCTTCCACATGGATATCAGGGGTCCAGATACTTGGGCTATATTCAAGTGCTTTCTCTGGGCATGTTAGTAGGGAGCCGAATTGGAAGTGGAGCAGCTGGGACTTATACCAGTGCTCTTATGGGATGCCAGTATTGCAGGCAGTGGCTTAACCTGCTGCAACACAATGCCAGCCCCTTTGTGTGTGTGTGTGTGTGTGTGTGTTTTAATAGTTTAAATCATTTTAATAGTTTAATGGGTTTTTTCCCCCTTTTGGTATAATATTTTTTTTAACCCAGAAGCCTTTTCTTTAAGGTATACAAACTTAATGCATTTCATAAATACAGATTTAGGAACATAATGATTCTTCCCACCCTTCTTCCTCCTCCCTCTCCTATTGTCATTCTTATTTTTTACTAAGATCTATTTTCAATTGGCTTTATACACATAAGATTAACCCTATACTTAGTAAATAGTATGAAAAAAACCTATTCCTTGACAGTCAAGATGAGGTCTGTTCAAAGTCATCGCATCTCAAAGTGTCAATGTCACTTCTCTAGGTTACCTTTTAGATGTTCTGGTGGTTACCACAGATGAGGGAGAACATATGCCATTTGTCCTTTTGTGATTGGCTTATTTCACTAAATGTAATGTTTTCCAGTTGCATCCATTTTATTGCAAATGATAAGCTTTCTTTTTTTTTTTTTTTACTGCTGTGTAGTATTCCATAGCATACATATCCCATAATTTCTTTATCCAGTCTTCAGTTGATGGACATTTAGGTTGATTCTATATCTTAGCTATTGTTAATTGAGCTGCATTTTTTTTAACAAGACCTTACGTTTTTAGAGGTACCTATTAAAGCACATAAAGCTAAAATGATGTTACGTCAGGAATTTGCTTCAAAACATTCAGAGGAGTGGTTCAGAGCAAGGCAGAGTATTGAAGAAACAGGATTTGCAACGGATTGGTGATTGTTGCAGCATAGTGATGGATCTGGGGATTTATCTTTACTTTGGAGTAAGTTTAAAGTTTTCCATAATTATAAGTTTAAAAAAATCCAGAGTTTAACCCTGTTTGTAACTCTAGAATATTAACTCTTAATGATTGTGCCATTGTTTCTCATATTGTGATTTTATCTGCATTCATGGAGATTTCTGTGGTACCTGGAAAGCAGTATTTTTAAAGATTTGTTTATGTATTTATTTGAAAGGCAGAGTGATAGAGAGGGAGGGACACAGAGATATCTTCCATCCACTGGCTCACTCCCCTAAATGTGTGCAACAGGCAGGTCTGGGCCAGGCTGAAGCCAGGAGCCAGGAGCTCCATCTTGGTAGCAGAAGCCATTTTCCACTGCCTTCCTAGGCACATTAGCAAGGACTTGAATTGCTCATACTCAGACTCTGATACAAGTTGCCAGTGTTGCAAGTGGTAGCTTAACCTGCACTACAAAAGAGGCCTTGCATTTTTAAAAAAATATTCATTTATTTACTTATTTATTTGAAAGCCAAAGTTACACAGAGATGGAGAGGCAGAGAGAGAGAGGTCTTCCATCCGCTGGTTCATTCCCCAATTGGCCACAACTACCAGAGCTGTGCTGATTCAAAGCCAGGAGCTAGGAACTTCCTCCAGGTCTCCCACATGGATGCAGAGGCCCAAGGACTTGGGTCATCTTCTACTGCTCTCCCAGGCCATAGCAGAGAGCTGGATCGGAAGTGGAGCAGCCGGTACTTGAACTGGTGCCCATATGGGATGCCGGCACCACAGGTGGCGGCTTTACCTACTACGCCACAGCGCCGGCCCCAGCATTTTTAGTTTTAATAGTTATGAATTCATTTTAGTGTTACCTTATACTTGTGGCAATAATACTGCAGGTTTTCCATTTATGAAGTGATATAAATCATACTTTTGAAACTCTTAAGTGAAAAATTATTTGGTTTTTAAAATATTCCATAAATAATACTGGTAGAATTCAGATACAGAAATTCAGGTATGATAAGAATCATTGCATGTATGAGATCAAAGTTGGCCCCTTCAGGATGCTGTACTGAATCCATTGGTGCAAATGGTGAACCAGAGTGTTTTAGGAGCTTTCTTTATACCCCTATTATCTACGTTTTAGTGCCTCCCACACTCTTTGGAAAGAATGAGTATTTTGTATTAAAACCATCTGTGTACATCTGTGTATCTTCAGAAGCCTTAACCCTTATAAGAAATTACAGGAAGCATTTTTTGTTACAGAATGTCATACCCAGGCTATCCGCCCAGTGGCTACCCACCTTTCCCTGGATATCCTGTAAGTATTTCCACTTAACAATATTAAAAGTAATTCACGTCCTCAGAAAATTGTGGTCATAGGACTAGTCTGTGATAGATTTTTTTTTTTTTTGAAGATTTATTTATTTGAAAGAGTTACAAAGAGATGTAGAGACAGAGAGAGAGGTCTTCCATCTGCTGGCTCATTCCCCAGATGGTTGCAACGGCCGGAGCTGCACTGATCCGAAGTCAGGAGCCAGGAGCTTCTTCCGGGTCTCCCAGGGAAGGACTTGGGCCATCTTCCACTACTATCCCAGGCCATAGCAGAGAGCTGGATTGGAAGAGAAGTAGCCAGGACTAGAACTGGCGCTCATATGGGATGCCGGTGCTTCAGGCCAGGGCTTTAACCTGTTGTGCCACAGCACCAGCCCCGTGTGATAGATCTTACAGATATGCCACAACAGGGATCATAAACTCAAATGCTCTGAGGTGCCAAGTGAAGACAGAGAGAGTGTGAGAACTTAGAGCACCTGCTTCCTCGGGAAAGCCAATGGCTGCTCAGCTCTAGCTTGATGTGGGTACGGCTGTGCAGGAAGGCAGACCAGTGTTGCAGGTTACTCCAATTCTTCAAGTAAGGCAAGAAACCTGGATTTTTTTTATGAAATTGCCCAAGTTTTAAGCATGTGGATGCTTAAAAATAAAAAGCTAACTGCTCTATGATCTAATAAAACTTATGCATGAGTTGAATCTCTCCCATGAATTCATGATTCTTAAATCTTGTGTTAAAAGTATTAAAATAATTAAGAAGGGCTTGACTCAGAGGTAGCAAATTATAGTGAATCAGAGGGCCCTGGGCTTGTGTTGTGAAACTTGTAGTATTTAGAGTACATTTTACAAATATGCTAAGTTCCACCTTTTTTTTTTTTTTAAGATTTATTGATTTATTTGAAAAAGTTACACAGAGGAAAGGCAGAGAGAGAGAGAGGGGTCCTTCATCCAATGATTCACTCCCCAGTTGACCGCAATGGCTGGAGCTGCGCCGATCCGAAGCCAGGTGCTTCCTCCAGGTCTCCTACGCGGGTGCAGGGGCCCAAGGACTTGGGCCATACTCCACTGCTTTCCCAATCCATAGCAGAGAGTGGGATTGGAAGTGGAGCAGCCGGGTCTTGAACCGGCGCCCAGATGGGATGCCGGCACTTCAGGCCAGGGCCTAACCCACTGAGCCACAGCGCCGGCCCCTACCTTTGTTGATAATTGTGATACTCTGAAGACTGAACTCATTGCTGAGGCATGCATAAGAGTTACCCATTTGTTTTATGCTTGTAAGTATGGAGGGCTGCTGTCTAACCCTAGGAAAATAGTCAGAGGAGCCTTTACAGTTTAATGATAATGTGTGTATATCCTCACGCAAGGTGACTATATAACTCTCTTAAATTTATTATAGGAGAGATAAGAGGAATATATTTCCAAGTTCCTGTGTACTAAACTGGACTCTGCCATCCATTTTAGTTAGTGTAGGATAATTTCTGAAACAACGAACCCCCAAATCTCAATGGCTTTACATAATAAAAACTTAGGTCTTGCTCACTTAAGTCGCCTGGAAGTCAGTGGCAGGGTAGGGGGAGGTTGGGAGGAAGCCTTATTTCATGTAGTGTTTTAGGTTCTGAGTCTCCATCCTTAAAACTATTTGTACCCACCTAAAATCCTCACTGGACCCTTTGCTTTTGGCTGGGAGATGAAGGAAGAACATGGAGGATTGGACAGAGATTTTCAGGAGCTAGGTTGGAAGTGGTGTATGTACATCACTTTTAAGTTCATTCACTGATAAATAGTCACATGGTCCTACCTAGCTGCAAGGAGGTAGGACGTCTGGGAAATATGGTCGAGCTCTGCGGTGAGGGAGTGAAGAGTTTCTTGAACATGTAACCATCTCTGTCACTCTTTGACATTCCTGAGGTCTAAAAAAACCACACTGTGTGTGATTTGGGTCACCTTTTCAAAGTCACCTTAGGCAGTAGGTGCAGGTATATTCCAAGAAAGCTATGAATTCTTCTGTTTAGGGTTCTCATATTTTCAGATGCTAGGGAAATGAAGGAATTTAGGAGCTTAAGGTTTGAGAAATAATCTAGTTCTGACTCCCAAGTCGAAAAATAGACCCCTCTTGTCTGATCTAAGTAGAATTAAATTTGAATGCAGACAAACAAATGTTCTGAAAAACTAGTAGATGGATAAATTGATAAACTAGTATAAATTACTAAAGTGTAAAAGAACAAGCTAGAACTTAATACTAGTCTTTTTTTAAAAAAAAAAAAGATTTTTTAAAAGATTATTTATTTAAAAGAGTTACACAGAGAGAGGAGAGGCAGAGAGAGAGAGAGAGGTCTTCCATCCCATGGTTCACTCCTCAGTTGGCCTCAATGGCCGAAGCTGCACCCATCCGAAGCCAGGAGCTTCTTCCAGGTCTCCCACGTGGGTGCAGGGGCCCAAGGACTTGGGCCATCTTCTACTGCTTCCCCAGGCCATAGAAGAGAGCTGGATTGGAAGAGGAGCATCCTGGTCTCCAATAGGCGCCCATATGGGATGCCAGCACTTCAGGCCAGGGCATTAACCCATTGTGCCACAGTACCAACTCTCCTCCTCCCCCCCAAAAAAAAAAGATTTGAAAGGTACAGTTAGAGAGGGCTACAACCTAGGCTACTTGTTTTTGTTTGTTTGTTTGTTTTTAAGATGGGTAATATTTCTCTTGGGTCATATTTTCCAGTGATCACATTCATTTGAAAATTTTTCTGATTTTTCAGCCTGCAGGTCAGGAGTCATCCTTCCCCCCTCCGGGTCAGTATCCTTATCCTAGTGGCTTTCCTCCGAAGGGGGGAGGTGCCTACCCACCAGCACCAAGTGGTGGCTATCCTGGATCCGGAGGCTACCCTGCGCCTGGAGGCTACCCCACTCCTGGAGGCTATCCTGGTGCCCCACAGCCCGGTGGAGCCCCATCCTACCCTGGAGGTAAGTTATGAGTCAGGGAATTAGTAATGATGTGGGATCGCTGTCATTCTTCTACCTTTTCTCTCTCCTTTCTGTCTTCCTTGTTTTATATGAAGTCAGATTTAATGTTTGCTAACCTTGGACAGTAACTGTAGACAGTAAGGATCTAGCTGGCAAAGTAGAAGGATAAAGGTTCCTCAGGCCATGAAAGCTGGGAGCAGTCTCAAAAACTGCACTCTGAAGAGAACTGGAATAAATGTGATGTTAATAAAAGATGAGCATATAACACTGTGCTCAACTATTTGTCATCTTCAGAACTAATTAATACACTATAGTTAACATGTCTGTGACCTCTAGACAGCTGTAACCCCCACCCCTGCCAAAAAAAACCAGAACAACTAAACAGCACTCTTGTGTGGTAAGTTAGTAAGGAACACGAGTGAGGTAAAATTTTTGAAGTTTATTTAAAGATTTGTGTATTTGTTTGAAAGGCAGAGTTACATAGACAGGGATCCTCCATCCACTGGTTCCCCACATGGCTACAATGGCCAGTGCTGGGCCAAGCTGAAACCAGGTGTTTCATCCAAGACTCCCATGTTGGTGGCAGGGATCCAAACACCTGGCCCACCTTTAGCTGTTTCTCCTAGGCCATCAGCAGGGAGCTGGATTGGAAGTGGAACATCCAGGACACAAACTGGCTCCCATATGGGATGCCAGTGTCATAGGCAGCGATTTGACCTGCTACGCCACAATGCTGGCCCTGAAGTTTGTTTTTATGTTGTTATTTTAAAATTTTTATTTATTTGAGAGTCATGGTGAGATTCAGAGCATACTCCTAGCTGCTGGTTCACACCCAACTGCCTGCAACAACCCAGTATGCTCTGGCCAAACTGGAAGCCAAGAACCCAGTCTAGGTCTATGTCTTGGGTGACAGGAACTTGATTATTTAAGCTTTTAGCTCTGCCTTACATGTCTACATAAGCAGAAAGCTGGAATCAGGAGCCAGAGACAGGCATCAACCTTTGGCACTTTCTTGCTAGGCCAAATGCCTAGGGAGAAAGTTTCTTTTATTTATTTGCAAAATTTTTTAAAAATTTTATTTATTTGAAAAGCAGAATGACAGAGGGAGAGGGAGATATTCTTTCTTCTGGTTTACTCTACAAATGGCCACAACAGCCAGGTCTGAGCCAGTCAAAGCCAGGAGCCAGGAACTCCATAATGGTCTTTTTTTTTTTTTAAACTGTTTATTTGAAAGGCAGAGTGAGAGAGAGCGAGAGCGAGATCTTCAGTCCACTGATTTACTCTCCAAATGACCATGGCGACCAGGGCTGGGCTAGGCTGAAACTGGGAGCTTCTTCTGGGTCTCCCACGTGAGCGCAGGGGCCCAAGGACTTAGGCCATCTTCCTGCTTTCCCAGGCATGTTAGCGGAGAGCTGGATTGGAAGTGAGCTTCCGTGACTTGAACTGGTGTCCATATGGGATGCCAGCATTGCAGGCAGTGGCTTAATGTACTATGGGCCCCCTCCATCCTGGTCTTCCACGTGGTCAGGAGAGGCCCAGGTACTTGAACTATCTTCCTCTGCTTCCCCAGGCACATTAGCAGGAGGCAGGATTGGAAGCAAAGCAGCTGAGTCTCAAACTGGCACTCTGATATGGGATGCTCGCTTCATAATATAGCTTAACCATGCCTCAGTGCCAGCCCTAAATTAATTTTTTTAACAGGGAAGGAGTTAGAAGTTGAACTTGGACAAAAAGGGACTGTTTCCACTGTCAACAGTAGAGCATTTTCTAAAGTTTTTCTGCCATTTGAGAGCTGTCGCTGTACTGAATTGGATTGTTCTTTTCTCTAGTTCCTCCAGGCCAGGGATTTGGAGCCCCACCAGGTGGAGCAGGCTATCCTGGATATCCACAGCCACCTTCACAGTCTTACGGTGGTGGCCCAGCACAGGTCCCACTACCTGGTAGGTACCAGCTACCCAGAGAAAAACAGTACATGATATTTTGAGTTTTTTCAGTTGCCACTGAGAGAATTTAATTTATATTTGGGGTAGTCTTCAGTAAACATTTACATATTTCTGTAAGTAATCTTAAATACATGGTTTCATGAAATATATTAATGGAAATACTTGATTTGTAATATGGAGATAAGGACCGCTATTTTAAATTTTTAAAATCGGTCCTAAAGCCAAAAAGCAAAACGTACGGGAACTTCTCTGCCCACTGATGTACCACAAATGAAACCATATCTTGATGACCATTCCAGATGGAGTCAGAATTTAATCTGGTTCAAATACAAAAGTATCATTTGTGAAGATCTTATTATAGAACATGGGATATTAAAAAGGTTCTTATGACCAGTGTTGGTTTTAGATTCAGTAAATTATGGGTTAATTTTCATTGCCAACAACACAGAGTGAAAATTCTCTTATGTTTCCTTATTCACAATAAGTCAGCACTGTCATGAGAAATTAAAGAAGATCTGTTTGCTGTGTACTTTTTTTTTTACCATATAGGTGGTTTTCCTGGAGGACAGCCCTCTCAGTATCCTGGAGGACAAGCTCCTTACCCTAGTCAGGTAATCTTGCTCTTATCTTTTAAATTTCATCTGCATGATGACAAAGAAGGGCTCCACTCCTTTGCTGACATCAAAACTTTACCGGAAGCTGAGGAAATGTTTGATCACAGTAACTTAAAACTCCATGCTGTCTGTGGTCCCTCAGCTTGAAGTAAGAGCCTGATGGCATTCACAAGGCTGTGCTAGGGCCTTCTCACAGGTGGTTAATGCGCATAACTTTCTGGGAGAGATTCACTTGGGCTCTTGGCATTGCTTTTACTTCTTTCTCCACTTCTTACCCTTAAAAGTAATTATAACCGAATTTGAGTGAGTAGGTGATGGTGTTTCTGTCATTGACTTATGAAGACTGATTTTGTTTTCCATGCTTACCTTTATAACTTTCCACTGTTCTTTCAGATCAGTACAGAATCCTTTTCTTCTTATCCTGTTTTCTCTCCTGTTTCTTTGGATTATAGCAGTGACGTGAGTAAGGTTTTGTAATGTTCACTGATCACTAGGTCACCTATTTGTGCCTTCATTTGTTTCTGATTTCTCATGTATTTGTCTCTCATCACTTCCTTGAGGGCTTAACTCTTTTTTTTTTTTTTTTTAATTTTTTTTATTTTTTGACAGGCAGAGTGGACAGTGAGAGAGAGAGACAGAGAGAAAGGTCTTCCTTTTGCCGTTGGTTCACCCTCCAATGGCCGCCACGGCCGGCACGCTGTGGCCGGCACACCGCGCTGATCTGATGGCAAGAGCCAGGTACTTCCTCCTGGTCTCCCATGGGGTGCAGGGCCCAAGCACTTGGGCCATCCTCCACTGCACTCCCTGGCCACAGCAGAGAGCTGGCCTGGAAGAGGGGCAACCGGGACAGAATCCGGTGCCCCGACCGGGACTAGAACCCGGTGTGCCGGCGACGCAAGGTGGAGGATTAGCCTAGTGAGCCGCGGCGCCAGCCTCTTTTTTTTTTTTTTTTTTTTTTTTTAAGATTTATTTATTTTACCTGAAAGTCAGTTACACAGGGAGAGAAGGAGAGGCAGAGAGAGAGGAAGAGGGAAAGAGAGGGAGAGAGGAAGAGGGGGAGAGAGAGAGAGAGAGGTCTTCCATCTGCTGGTTCACTCCCCAATTGGCCACAGCAGCCGGAGTTGTGCTGACCCAAAGTCAGGAGCCAGGAGCTTCTTCTGGGTCTCCCACGCAGGTGCAGGGGCCCAAAGACATGGGCCATCTTTTACTGCTCTCCCAGGCCATAGCTGAGAGTTAGATCGGAAGTGGAGCAGCCGGGTCTTGAACCGTGCCTATATGGAATGCCAGCACTGCCAGTATTCCATATGGAATACTACAAGTAGAAAATTGTATGTTTACCATAAAAGCAGGGATGTTTCTTATTAATTCTCTTCATAGATTTCTGGCTTAGAAACTAGTAGAAGATGGATACTAAGGCTTATTAGTAGAACAAAGTGTTGGTATGAAAATACAAGTAAGTGGGAGGAATTATTATTTAAAGATTTATTTATTTATTTGAAAGGCAGAGTTACAGAGAGGCAGAGGAAGACAGAGAGAGATGGAGGTCTTCCATCCACTGGCTCAGTCCCCAAATGGCCTCAACAGTGAGTGCTGGGCCAAGCCAAAAGCCAGGAGCCACAAGCTTCATCTGTGTCTCCCACATTGGTATAGGAGTCCAAGTAGTTGGATCTTCTGATGCTTTCCCAGGCACATCAGTAGAGACTTGGATTGGAAGTGGAGTAGCTGGGACACAAGCCAGCACCTGTATGGGATGCCAGTGTCACAGGCGGCAGCTTAACCTGCTATGCTATAATGCCGGCCCCATAAGAGGAATTAGTGATCCTAAAAATGTTTTTTGGGGAGGCCGGTGCTGCGGCATAGTGGGTAAAGCCATGCCTGCAGTGCCGTCATCCCCTGTGGCACCAGTTTGAGTCCTGGCTGCTCCACTTCTTCTTCTTCTTCTTTTTTTTTTTTTTTTTTTTTTGACAGGCAGAGTGGACAGTGAGAGAGAGAGAGAAAGGTCTTCCTTTCCGTTGGTTCACCTTCCAATGGCCGCCGCGGCTGGCGCACCGCGCTGATCCGAAGGCAGGAGCCAGGTGCTTCTCCTGGTCTCCCATGGGGTGCAGGGCCCAAGCACCTGGGCCATCCTCCACTGTACTCCCTGGCCACAGCAGAGAGCTGGCCTGGAAGAGGGGCAACCAGGACAGAATCCGGCGCCCCGACCAGGACTAGAACCCGGTGTGCCAGCGCCGCAAGGCGGAGGATTAGCCTAGTGAGCCACGGCGCCAGCTTGCTCCACTTTTGATCCAGCTCTCTGCTGTGGCCTGGGATGGCAGTAGAAGATGGCCCGAGTCCTTGGGCCCCTGCACCTATGTGGGAGAACCGGAAGAAGCTCTGGCTTTGGATCAGTGCAGCTCCAGCCATTGTGGCCGTCTGGGGAGCAAACCAGCAGATGGAAGACCTCTCTTTCTCTCTCTCACTCCCTCTCTCTCTCTCTCTCTCTCTGTCTCTGTCTCTCTGTAACTCTGCCTTTCAAATAAATAAATACATTTCTTCCTTTTTTTTTTTTTTTAAAGAGCTCTCTGTTAAAAAAATGTTTTTTGGAATGCCTGCTGAAAGATGATCTTGTCTTCTCCTTCCTATTTACTTTGCCCCCAGAAGTTAAGGGTATATTTCCATAGTAAATGGGTATAATTCTAAATACTTTCAGTGGCCTAAAAAGTAATCAAATCATTTTATATTTTGAAATGATATTGACTGCATATTTAAATAACATTTTGCAGACATTGGATTTTATTAGATGCCATTACAATTAAATGCTTTAAGAAATTTATTCATTTATTGAAAGGCAGAGTGATAGGGATCTCTTGAAACTGCTGGTTCATTCCCCAAAGGGCCACAACAAGTGGGCCAGGCCAAAGTTAGGAGCTGGGAACTCCATCCAGATATCCCATGTGGGTGGCAGGGATTTAAGTCATCTGCTGCTTTGCAGGTGCATAAGCAGGGATCTTTTTTGAAAGTGGAGCAGCCAAGACTCAAACCGGTACTCCGTGATATGGGATGTGAGTGTCCCAAGTAGTGGCCTGACCTGCTGTGCCATAATGCCTGTTCCAACAATTTAAAAAGTTTAAAAACTTGTGTGGAATCATCTTGCCTCATCCCATCCTTCTTGAGCCCAGATTTGGACTTGAATGTTTTAAGAAAACTAATGAGTTGTATCATAAAATTCTCCTTTTTTAATTTTGAAGTAACATCAGATTTAACAACAAAGCTGCAAAAATAGTATGAAGAATTCCTTTATACCCTTTATTCAGATTCTTCAAATGTTAATCTCTACATAGATAGAATACAACTATCAAAATCGGGACGTAACATTAGTAAATATTACCCTGTTGGGACCGGCACTGTGGCACAGCGGGATAAAGCCCTGGCCTGAAGTGCCGGCATCCCATATGGGTACCGGTTCTAGTCCCGGCTGCTCCTCTTCCCATCCAGCTCTCTGCGGTGACCTGGAATAGCAGTAGAAGATGGCTCAAGTAGTTGGGCCCCTGCACCCACTTGGGAGACCTGGAAGAAGCTCCTGGCTCCTGGCTTTGGCGGCCATTGGGGCCATCTGGGGAGTGAACCATTGGATGGAAGACCTCTCTCTGTCTCTACCTCTCTCTGTAACTCTGTCTTTCAAATAAATAAAGTGAATCTTTATATATATTATTACCCTGTCTGCAGACGTTATTCACAGTTTACTGGTTGTTTTTTCCCTTTGTCCTTTTTTTCTAATGTCCTTTTTCTGCCTCTGAAGCAAATCCAGATTGAAACATTACATTTATTGTCATGTTTCTTCAGTCTCCTTTATTCTGAAACTGTTCTTCACTCTGTTCATGACCTTCACACATCTGAAGTACACTACTAACAATTTTGTAGAATGTTCCTTAATTTGGGTTGGATGTTTCCTAAAGACTCAATTCAGGTGATGGCTTTTTGGCAGAAATACTATAGGAATGATGTTTACCCAGGATTCACTTGTTTATAAAATTTCACGTATTCTATTCCTGATGATAATTTTGATCACTTGTTTAAGATGGTGCCGGCAAAATTCCTCTGCTTTGATGTTAGAAACTATTCAGAAGCCTTAATTTTCATCAGTTTCAACACCCATTAATAATTCTTGCCTGAAACACTTATTGCTGTTGTGTTTGCCAAATGGTGATTTTTAAATTTCTACACAGATTTGTATTTTTAAAATACTGCCCTGGTTTGTTTCTTTTTAAAATAGATAAATTTAAATTTAAAAAATTAAAATTAAATTAGATAATGTCTGGAAAAGTTTTTATGTTGCATCATTATCAATAGAGATTCTTTATTTTGATCACATGCATTTTGTTCTCAGCCTGCTGCAGTGACTCAAGGCACTCAGGGAACAATTCATCCAGCTGCCAACTTTGATGCTATGAAAGATGCAGAAATTCTCCGTAAAGCAATGAAGGGATTTGGTAAGGAAAATATATTTTTGTGTTTTTTAATACATGAAAGTGACAGGTTTTAAAGTAAACCTGATGTCGTAAACCAAGCTCGAATGTCAGTCTGTGTACATACCCTCATTTTGGTGCCCAGTGCTTTGCAAGTGTTTTAACAGATGGCTTGGAGGAACACTAAGTACAGGATTCATCCTTGACTTAAGTACGTATGGTTCTTCCAGGGACAGACGAACAGGCAATTGTGGATGTTGTAGCCAACCGTTCCAATGATCAGAGGCAAAAAATTAAAGCAGCTTTTAAAACCATGTATGGAAAGGTATGTTTCATTTTGTTATCTGGAGTGAATACCAGCAGTTGGTGTGTAGATGTTGCGCTTAGAGCAGATTGGAGACTGCCTTTTTATTAGAATCTGTGCTATAAAGAGAAGACAACTGGGTAGACCTTAGGAGTAATAAATTCACTATTTCTGTTGAAAACTTTTTCATCCTAGAATATTCCTTGATCTTGCAGTCGTATCTTCTACGTCTTAGATAGTTGTTCAGTAAAAAGTAGATTATGACGATAGCCATGATCAAGGGCTTGGTAATCAACTTTCTGTTGATAATGGGATTGAAGGCTTATTACACACCCTCTCTCTAGGCATGTTGTGTATTACAGCTATATGAACTACTTGCATTCTCCATACACAGCATGCTCCTTTCTACTTCTGTGTTTTGTACATACTGTTCTCCTGGCTTAGAACACATTTTCTTCTTTCTTTGCATACGAAACAACTTCAGTATGTGGCTTAGTATCAGCTACTCTATGAAGTTTATCTCACTGCCATGGGCAGAATTTAACAATACTTCCTCTGTGGTCCATAGCACTTTTGTGAAACCTCTGCCATGGCTCATCTTATTGCCCACTCCTGGTAACTGTGAGCCCCCCAGGACAAACCATGTCATATTTGCCTTTGTATTTGCAGCACCAAGTATTCAGTAACAAGTAGCTGCTTAGTACGCATCTATGAAATGGTCATCGATGAAATGTAGCAAAATCCTATGGCTAGAAATTAAATATAAAATTAAATTTTGGCTAGAATTAAATTAAATTAAATTTAAATTAATTTATTAATTAATTATTTAATTAATTTATTAATTAAATTAAATTATGGCTAGAAATTAAATATAAAATTAAATAAATGAATCTTAAAAAACAAAATGAAGATATTTCCCATGTTATTTTGATTTGTATTTACATTGTATTATGCTGTCTTAAATTTTCTCATATATTGCTTTAACTTAAAACCACTCATAGCCTGGTTTTCTTATCCCCAATCACCTCTTCTTTTGACCTCTTATTATAAAATACTGTTCTTCTAGCCTGCTATAGAGTTGTCTTTTTTTTTTTTTTTTTTTTTTTTTTGACAGGCAGAGTGGACAGTGAGAGAGAGACAGAGAGAAAGGTCTTCCTTTGCCGTTGGCTCACCCTCCAATGGCCGCCGCGGCCAGCGTGCTGCGGCCGGCACACCGCGCTGATCCGATGGCAGGAGCCAGGAGCCAGGTGCTTTTCCTGGTCTCCCGTGGGGTGCAGGGCCCAAGCACCTGGGCCATCCTCCACTGCACTCCCGGGCCACAGCAGAGAGCTGGCCTGGAAGAGGGGCAACCGGGACAGAATCCGGCGCCCCAACCGGGACTAGAACCCGGTGTGCCGGCGCCACAAGGCGGAGGATTAGCCTAGTGAGCCGCGGCGCTGGCTCTAGAGTTGTCTTTTATTCCACATTCTTCTTTTTTCTTTATTTTTTTAGAAGATTTTTACTTATTTATTTGAGAGGTAGAATCACAGACAGTAATGGGGAGAATCAGAGAGAAAGGTCTTCCATCCAGTAGTTCACTTCCCAGATGGCTGTAACGGCCAGAGCCGGGCCAATCTGAAGCAAGGATCCAGGAACTTATTCCAGGTCTCCCATGTGAATGCAGGGGTCCAAGTGCTTGGGCCATCTTCCACTGCTTTCCCAGGCCATAGCAGAGAGCTGGATGGGAAAAGAAGCAGTTGGGACTAGAAATGGTACCCACATGGGATGCCGGTGCCGCAGGTGGAAGATTAACCTACTGCGCCAAAGTGCCAGACCCTGCATTTATTAAGAAAAACAAAAACAGAGCCGGCGCTGCTGCTCAATAGGCTAATCCTCCACCTTGTGCCGCCGGCACACCGGGTTCTAGTCCCGGTCGGGGCGCCGGATTCTGTCCCGGTTGCCCCTCTTCCAGGCCAGCTATCTGCTGTGGCCAGGGAGTGCAGTGGAGGATGGTCCAAGTGCTTGGGCCCTGCACCCCATGGGAGACCAGGAGAAGCACCTGGCTCCTGCCTTCGGATCAGCGCAGTGCACCGGCTGCGGCGGCCATTGGAGGGTGAACCAACGGCAAAGGAAGACCTTTCTCTCTGTCTCTCTCTCTCACTGCCCACTCTGCCTGTCAAGAAAAAAAAATTAAAAAAAAAAAAAAAACCAGGTTATTTATTTGAAAGGCATAGTTACAGAGAGAGCTTCTTTCTACTTACTGACTTCCCAGATGGTTGCAATGGCCAGTGGTGGGCCAGGCCAAAGCCAGGAACTTTGGCAGGGCCAAAGCACTTGGGTCATCTTCGGATGCTTTCCCAAGCACATTAGCAGGGAACTGGATTGATGGGATGCTGGTATTGGAAGCAGTAGCTTAACCTGCTGTACCACAACAATGGCCCCCACATTTTTTTTTTAAAGATTTATTTAGGGGCCAGTGCTGTGGCATAGTAGGTTAATCCTCTGCCTGTGGCACCGGCATCCCATGTGGGCACTGGTTCTAGTCCCAGTTGATCCTCTTCCAATCCAGCTCTCTGCTGTGGCCTGGGAAAGCAGTGGAAGATGGCCCAAATGCTAGGGCCCCTGAACCCATGTGGGAGACTGGGAGGAAGTACCTGGCTCCTGGCTTTGGATCGGCACAGACTCAGCCATTGCGGCTATTTGTGGAGTGAACCAACAGAAGGAAGACCTTTCTCTCTGTCTCTCCTTCTCACTATATGTAACTCTACCTCTCAAATAAAAAAATATTTTTTAAAAAAGATTTATTTATTTGAGAGTTACACAGAGAAGGAGAGGCAGAGAGAAAGAGGTCTTCCATCCACTGCATCACTCCCCAACTGGCCACAACGGCCAGAGCTGCTCCAAAGTCAGGAGCCAGGAGCTTCTGGGTTTCCCACAAAGGTGCAGGGGCCCAAGGACTTGGGCCATCTTATACTGCTTTCCCAGGTCACAGCAGAGAGCTGGATTGGAAGTGGAGCAGCCAGAACTCAAAACAGGCGCCCACATGGGATGCTGGCACTGCAGGCGGCAGCTTTACCTGCTATGCCGCAGTGCTGGCCCCACCATGTTGTTTTTAGTCAGTCAATATTCAGTGCCTGCCAGATGCCAAGACTGCCTTGTCCTGGCAAATGGCTACTTACTAACTTTTATTGATCTAATCCCTAAAGTGACTCTTCAGAATGTGTTTTATGTGTTTTTTCATTTCCATTGCTATCACTCAAGTTCAAGCTCTTACTACCTTCCAAAAACTTAAATGTTCTCATCTATAACCTCTTTCTGTTATAGTCATTCTACATACTGTTGCTTTATCAATGCCATTTTCTTGTGTTAAAGTTTCCAAAGGCTCCTCCAAAGTAGAATCAAATTTACATTCTATAATTTGACATTGATGATAATAACCTAAGATTTTGTTATAACTTGTTTTACATATTTATTTTGAAAACCTTCCTAACAAAACCACTTATCTTGTTGTTCCATTGAACAAACTTTGTTCATTCTTGCCCCTATACCAGTGATTCTCAGCCCTGGCTGAAATTCAGTCTCTTTTAGAATTTAAAATCCAACGCAGAAACTCTCAGTTTAGTCATAATAGAATAAATAAAATAACAAACTTTAAACGTATACATTTACTTTTTTCTTAGTATATAATGTTTAGATTTGTAGATGAGGTTTTCATAATACAATTTTATTTCATTTTCATATTTGCTTTCAAGGATATAAGTGACAAAATTTGGAGAGTATGTATACTTAGCTTCCTTTTGTAATTAAACAGGATTTAATCAAAGATCTCAAATCAGAGTTAAGTGGAAATATGGAAGAACTGATCCTTGCCTTGTTCATGCCGCCTACGTATTATGATGCTTGGAGTTTACGGAATGCAATGCAGGTACTGTTGGTCATTTACTGTATTTCATCCTATTTCATATGTAAAAAGTCATAATTATGGCTGTTATGAATTTACAGAAGTAATTAAATGAGCAATGATTTCATATCATCAGAATACAGAGCTTTTCCATTCTAGAGGACCAAGAAATATTTGATGGAGCAGTATCATTTTATTACTTTCATAGATATTGTCTTGAGTAATTCCCTCTTTATTTCACTTAGGGAGCAGGCACTCAGGAACGTGTATTGATTGAGATTTTGTGTACAAGGACAAATCAGGAAATCCGAGAAATTGTCAGATGTTATCAATCAGAATTTGGACGAGACCTTGAAAAAGACATTAGGTCCGATACATCAGGGCATTTTGAGCGTTTGCTTGTATCCATGTGCCAGGTGAGTATAGCATGAATATTTGTTGCTGGAGGGAACATATTTTATTGCATATTGCCAGTGAGCATTCTTTAATCTTTTTAATATTTACCTGCCTTCAGATATTTCCATCTTTAAGAGAGGCCACACAGAATCCAGTGCTGAATATTGAACCCAGGCACTCCAATATGGGATGTGGGCATCTTAACCTCTAGGCTAAATGCCCAGTCCCTGGGAAAAAAACCTAATAGACCTTTATTTCTTCCAATCCCTGCCTTTCTCTGTTTTCAGGGCAATCGGGATGAGAACCAGACTGTCAACCACCAGATGGCTCAGGAAGATGCACAGCGTCTCTATCAAGCTGGTGAAGGGAAACTAGGGACAGACGAATCCTGCTTCAACATGATCCTTGCCACGAGAAGCTTTCCTCAGCTGAGAGCCACCATGGAGGCTTACTCCAGGGTATGAGCTCCTTTTTTCAAGATTTGTCTTCTGTTTTAAGATGTAAAAATATTGAACCCTGTAATTTGTGTTTGCAGATGGCTAATCGAGATTTGTTAGCAAGTGTGAGCCGTGAATTTTCCGGATATATTGAAAGTGGTTTGAAGACCATCTGTAAGATATTTGTGTTCTTTCTTATTTTGTTTTTTAAATGAATGGAGGCTTTGAAAGCTTCACTGGCAGAAGCTGAGCTATTTTTTATATACAATTTCCTATGAATGCTTGGTGGTGTCATCAGATAGGACTGTTTGGGATCATTTGGCCTTTATTATGCCCTTCTTGAGGATTAAGAAAGAATATCCTATAGATTATAGCATTTCCTTTAAGGTAAATGGGACTGTCCTAAGGAACTGCTAGTGACACCACAAAACATCATTTTGAGTTCCCCAAACATACCTTTCAAGTATTCAGTGCAGTGAGACCCATTACTCTTTTGAAATTAAATAACTAATTTTTAGTGGTCTGTTACCCACAAATATAGCAAAATGGAAATTTCATTCCTATGAATAATAAAGGACAAAAGAGAGTACCTCACTGTTACTGGTAATGGCATGTCTTGTAAATATTAGGGTACTTCAGAATGTTCATGAGCAAATGTAGTTAAAAGATAAGTTTATTTTGGTGCAAAAGATTTTGAAATCCATGTACTTGAGGAATCTTCAGTTAATGGAAAAAACTATCCATGGGTTTCAAAACTTCTTGCAACAAAATTTACCTTTTTATTCCTTTTTTTTTTTTTTTTTTTTTTGCCATCCTTTTTCTTTTTTGAGAGAGAAGTAGAGCTTCCATGTACCGGTTCACTGCCTAGATGTCCACAAGAGCCAGGAGCCAGGAACTCAATCCAGGTCTCCCACATGAATGGCAGAGACCCAGCTACTTGAGCCATTACCTGCTGTGCCACAGGATGCACATTAGCAGGAACCAGGAATTGGAGTATAGCCAGGACTTGAGCCCAGGCACTCCAGTTTGCGATGCCTAGGCCAGGTACCCAGCCCATAAACTTGTCTTGTAATTCAGTTTCTCAGTGAGTTTTTTTTTTTTTTTTTTTTTTTTTTTTTTTTTTTTTGACAGGCAGAGTGGACAGTGAGAGACAGAGAGAAAGGTCTTCCTTTCTGTTGGTTCACCCCCAAAATGGCCGCTGTGACCGGCACTGCGGCCAGTGCACCGCGCTAATCTGAAGCCCGGAGTCAGGTGCTTCTCCTGGTCTCCCATGTGGGTGCAGGGCCCAAGCACTTGGGCCATCCTCCACTGCACTCCCAGGCCACAGCAGAGAGCTGGACTGGAAGAGGAGCAACCAGGACAGAATCCGGTGCCCCAACTGGGACTAGAACCCGGTGTGCCAGCGCCACAGGCAGAGGATTAGCCTAATGAGCCTCAGCGCCAGCCCCATGAGCTTTTTGAAGTGCCTTCATATTACTTATGTAATTACAATTAAAGTACATTTTTACCATCTGCAGGAGATTGTACTAAGTAAATTTTTCAAAGAGAAAACCTCTCAAAGCTCTGAGCATCATTTTAAAATCTGCGCTCAGTTCTGTTTTCTTTAGAGTGTATGTCATCTTCTCAGCCATAAGATAATCTTGACTTCTAGAATTCAGATTTTTGCATTAGTCTTACTAGTAAGATAAGGCTAGTGCACAGTTGGTATAGATTTTCACACTCTAAGGGGAAAAAAACAAAAAGTTTGGTCACTGCACCTATGGAGAGAATAGGATTTGTTAGCCAAAGAATCTAGAGTTGAAGGTAGCCTGTCTGATGCAGTTGGAAAGTGAGAAAAATCAAGAGGGGATGGGGAGCACAGCTCCAGCTCACCTCAGTTTTCTGAGAAGATTACAGCATATAATCAGACAGGCTAGAAGCCGTACAAGAAGCTGGAGGGGTCACTTGGGTCACGTCCTGGTGTCTGAAGCATCTCTTGCCTGCAGTGCAGTGTGCCCTCAACCGCCCCGCCTTCTTTGCCGAGAGGCTCTACTACTCCATGAAAGGGGCCGGCACGGATGACTCCACCCTGGTCAGGATCGTGGTCACTCGAAGTGAGGTGAGGCGAGGCTTTCTCTTTGTGTGGTCCTATTGGTTCTACGCTTCAGTTCCTTAAAATCCCCTCAGCTAGCTGTCTGTCCCTCTGGAATGATGTTAAGAAGAGCTCCGTCACTGCTGAGAGTGGTGATAAAAAGCACAGAATTCAGTTCCCTCATTCTGTAAGAGGGGTTTGCTTTAATGAGACTTGTACCTCACTAAAGACCATACCAAGAGATTTTCCCTCCTCAGAAGTTCTGTGGAGAATACTTGTTAATGGAAAGTAAGAAAATATTTATCTTTTAATTTTCACTTGTGTAAAAAATTGAATGAAAGATCCATGTAGATGAATCTTATTGGATATCAAAGGTCTTGAAATTAAACATGCATAATTAAAAAAAATTGTTACCTGAATATAGCCTCAATTTTGTTCTTTGACTTCATATATTTTTTTTAAAGATTTTATTTATTTGAAAGGTGGAGTTACAGTGAGAGGGAGAGACAGAGAGAAAGGTCTTCCACTGGTGGCTGAGAGAGAGGAATATAAGGAAGCAACTGTTTAATGAGCATAGATTTTCAGTTACGCAAGATGAAAAAACTTCTGAGGATAGATGTTGGTAACAGCTGCACAATATGAATGTACTTCATACCAATGAAATGTACACTTAAAAAGGATTAAAAGTATAAATTTTATGTTATGTCACTATGTTCAAAAAAAGACCCTGATTAGAAAATTCAAGTCTAATCATAAACATACAAAAGTTTGGTTTTTTTTTTTCCAACTCTGAATTCTGATTGTTTTTTAAAAAATGATTCAGTCTTCCTTGGTATGATTTTGTGGTGTATGTTTTCCTTCAACTAAAAAAAATTTTTTTTAACAGGCAGAGTTAGAAAGGTCTTCCTTCCATTGGTTCACCCCCTAAATGGCCGCTATGGCCGGCGTGCTGCACCGATCCGAAGCCAGGAGCCAGGTGCTTCCTCCTGGTCTCCCATGGGGTGCAGGGCCCAAGGACTTGGGCCATCTTCCACTGCCTTCCCAGGCCACAGCAGAAACTGGACTGGAAGAGGAGCAACTGGGACAGAACCAGCGCCCCAACTGGGACTAGAACCCGGAGTACCAGCACCACAGGTAGAGGATTAGCCTAGTGAGCTGCGGTGCTGGCAACTAAAATGGTTTCAAAAATATATAAAGTCTTGGGGCCAGTGCCATGGAGCAGTAGGTTAATCTTCCACCTGTGGCACCGGCATCCCATATTGGTGCTGGTTCTAGTCGTGGCTGTCCCTCTTCCAATCCAGCTCTCTGCTATGGCCTGGGAAAGCAGTAGAAGATAGCCCAAGTGTTTGGGGATCTGCCACCCACATGGGAGATCCGGAAGAACCTCCTGGCTTCTGGCTTTGGTCTGGCTCTGCCCTGGCCCTTGCAGCCACTTGGGGAGTGAACCAGCAGATGGAAGATATCTTTTTCTCTCACTTTCTGTCTCTCTCTTCTCTCTCTACATATTTCTGCCTTTCAAATAAATAAATAAATGTTTTAAAAATAACGTATTTGGGGGTAATAGGTGAAACTGCTATCACCATTTTCTAATATTTCCCAGAGCAGTGAATCACATCTTCACTGAGTAGTGCTGGCACTGATGTGAACGCTGGCTGTCAGATGTCAGTCACTGATTGCTTTTGTCCCCCGCTTACTTTGGTTGTTAAGATCCTATCATTTTTTTAAACCATTTATTTATTTACTTGAAAGGCAATCAGAGAGAGAGGGCAAGACAGAAGCAGAGAGGGAGAGATCTTCCATCTACTGGTTCACTCCCCAAATGGGCACAAGGGCTGGAGGTAGGCCAGGCCAAAGCCAGGAGCCTGGAGCTCCATCCAGGTCTCCCACCTGGGTGGCAGGGCCCCAAGTACTTGGGCCATCTGCCTCTCCTTTCCCAGGTGCATTAGCAAGGAGTTGGATTGACAGTAAAGCAGCTAGGACTTAAACTGCCCCTCATATGGCATGCTGGCATTACAGGTGGTAGCCTGACACACTGCATCACAACACCAGTCCCTCCTTATTATTAAAAAAATTATGATAAAGACCAGTTTTCTTTTAACATTGTTTCTAACATTAGAAATATCATTTCTCATACAGGTTGATCTTGTACAAATAAAACAGATGTTCACTCAGATGTATCAGAAGACCCTGGGCACAATGATTGCAAGTGACACGAGTGGAGATTACCGAAAGCTGCTGTTGGGCATTGTGGGCCAGTAGAAGAGATATTTGAAAACAAAGAAAACTTTTCATAGCTTTATCCTCCAAGTCAACAAAAGACCTGCATGCAGCAATATCAACTGTCACCTAACCAAAAGAGGTGTTTACCAAGGACTGTGTCAGGGTGATGTGCTTGATTTGCACATGTATTGCCTTAATTCTAATGTTACTTTTTTTCTCTATGTACAATCAGTGTAAAGCCATAACAATGATGTAGAAATTTTGTAATGTTTCTAAGTCCTTACTCACTGCTTTACTCTAATTAAGAATAAAAGCAATCTAATTCTGTGTAATAATAATTGAATAATTTTCAAAGAGGATGCTCATCACCTTTACCTAGTTAATACATGAGAAAAGAGTATTGTTAAAGAGCAACACTGGTCTGGACTCACCCTGGCTGGATTTCAAAATGTGATTCCCAGTTCAGGAATGGGTCAGTAATGAATCACCCACAGCAGCTTCCAGCCAGTAGTGACTGGTTATCCCTTTATCATGTTTTAACATCTGGACCTTTTCAGCATAAATTTTGAAAAAAGGGACTTAACTTCAGCTAGGTTTGTATTGTATTTCTATTTAAAAGTTAAAATTAAAAGCAAAGTGATGTTTACCCAAGTAAGAACAGTTCACTTAAAATCTCAGCAGACCATTAACTATTTGGAGATGGTGGAAATTTGCTGGTGCTCTTGTGACTCAGTTTCAACCCCAAAGCTGACTTTATTATAAATGATTTCCTTGCTGTGTGGTGATAGTCCCCCAGTGAACACTATTCAGTACTGACATTGGCGAGTTATCCAAGCAGTAGCATTCTAAACTAATGGGATTCTAGTGTAAAATGTTAAATATATTATTTTGGTTACCAAAGTGTTCCTGACGCTTTCAGGAGTTCCAGTATCACCAACCCTAACCTTTAAAATCTGGCTGGGCATCTAATTATTTCCATATCCCTTACATACTCCACGGGACATGGAAGAAGCAAGGAGCACTGTGTATGTTTAACGTCAAAGGGGAAAAAAAATTACTTAAAATTTGTTTTATGTATTCTAATTTTATTTGAAATGCATATAGACAGAAAAAGGTCTTCTGTCCACTGGGTCACTCTCCAATATCCCCAGCTGCCAGGATTGGGCCAGGCCAAAACCAGGATCCTGGGACTAAGTCTGAATCTCATGTGGGTGTCAAATCCAACTATTTGAGCTGCCTCCCAGAATGCACATTAGCAAGAAGCTGCATTTGGATACAGAGACTTGAACCAGGCACTCCACTATGGGATGCAGGCATCCCAAGTGGTGTCTTTAATTGTTGTGCCACGTGCCCACCCCCAAAAATATCTTTTTTTTTTTTTTGACAGGCAGAGTGGACAGAGAGAAAGGTCTTCCTTTGCCGTTGGTTCACCCTCCAATGGCCACTGCGGCCGGTGCGCTGAGGCCGGCGCACCACGCTGATCCGATGGCAGGAGCCAGGTGCTTCTCCTGGTCTCCCATGGGGTGCAGGGCCCAAGCACTTGGGCCATCCTCCACTGCACTCCCAGGCCACAGCAGAGAACTGGCCTGGAAGAGGGGCAACCGGGACAGAATCCGGCGCCCCGACCGGGACTGGAACCCGGTGTGCCGGCGCCGCAGGCAGAGGATTAGCCTATTGAGCCACGGCGCCGGCCCAAAAAAATCACTTTTAAACTTTATGTAAACAACTGTCTTTTGCCTCCTTTTCAAAGCTCTGTTTCTTAGCACTTTATGAAATAGTCAATCTATAATTATGGAGGGACTGAATATGTTTGTTGCCTTGTTATATAATAAAGACTTTTAATGCTGCTGCCTTATGGACTTTAGTCTCATGATTTTTCTGTTACCCTCCTTTTTCCATTTTAGGTGTCAGCTACCATTTTGATTAAACAAACCATGATATTTTAAATTGGCATTCATATAAACCTTTGAAATTTTAATTTTGCTAATTTATAAATTTGAGTCTTAGAAAACTAGTCACATTAAAAATGACCAGCAAAAATGCCTGTAAGGCCGGCGCCGCGGCTCACTAGGCTAATCCTCCGCCTAGCGGCGCCGGCACACCGGGTTCTAGTCCCGGTCGGGGCGCCGGATTCTGTCCCGGTTGCCCCTCTTCCAGGCCAGCCCTCTGCTGTGGCCAGGGAGTGCAGTGGAGGATGGCCCAGGTGCTTGGGCCCTGCACCCCATGGGAGACCAGGAAAAGCACCTGGCTCCTGGCTCCTGCCATCGGATCGGCGCGGTGCGCCGGCCGCAGCGCGCCGGCTGCGGCGGCCATTGGAGGGTGAACCAACGGCAAAAGGAAGACCTTTCTCTCTGTCTGTCTCTCTCACTGTCCACTCTGCCTGTCTAAAAAAAAAAAAAAAAAAAAAAAAAAAAAATGCCTGTAAGACAGTTTTAATTATAAAGTAATTGGTTAAATCTGATCCCATGATTTTGCTTAAATGATAAAATTGTAAATCCTAAAGGTTTTGCACAAAGCTCTGCCTTCCAAAATCCTGCTAGGTCCATTGAAAAGTTATTGTTGGTAATATGTCAAAATTATTTTAAAATTCAGGTATTTTGACCTAGAATAGAGGGTAATTTTTAAGTTTGCATATGTTGATATACTGTTTTGGTAAACACTTTCCAATACGTGGTTCCTGCTTCCAGTCACCTGAGAGTCTAATAGGGATTAATTATGTTTAAGGAAGTACCTCATACCTATTAATCCTTACTTGCCTTAAGATCTCAAAACAAAATACCACATGGACCAACAGCATGAGTGATGTCTAGAACAGCTCCCTGTCAATAACTTCACCCTTACCTATCTTGTAATGTAAAGCAAGTATGTCATGAATAAGTGGGGTGGCTTTCTGACTGCAAATTCATTCATAACTTTTACTTGGGAAAAAAAATCGATTCCTTACTCAACAGTGCCATCATTTTATGCAAGTAGATAAGAAGATCAAGAGAGCAAACTGCAGATATGATGTCTTATCACACCTAACCACTGCAGTATGTTTACCTCTAAAACAGACAATCACCAATATAACATCAAACAGCCTTCCATTTTAGGAAATATTACCACCACCTAGTCCATGGAACCTACTAACATTTGATCCACTATTCCAGCAACATCTTTATTCTTTCTGGACCTCAAAACGACAAAGGAATACTGTATTTGGTTGTCATCTGTCTTCAAACTCCTTTAATCTGGAACAGTTTACTGACTTCCATGTCTTTGACAATTAAAGAGTACAGGCCTTAATATTCTCTAATAAGAGTCTGCAGCCTGGGTCCTCTGATAGTAGGAATACCATAAAAATGTTTTCTCATTGCCTCTCTCTAGGATACACATACAGATTCTCCCAACAAGGCTGATGGTGTTAACCATACTCACCAGATCACATTGTTTACTATTTTCCCTTTTATTATTGATTAGCATTCCATGGGGAAATATTCTAATGTCACACCAATATCTTATTCCTCACCAGACCTCCACCCACCAGCCTTATTACCCACTGAAGACTTGCCTGAATCATCTGCTTCCCCAGTGGTCGCCAAAAGGTCATTCTCTTTTACTCTCATTTCCTTTACACTCCTGCATTGGCATTCTGGTGTAAATATAAACAGATTGTCTTTCTGACCATTTATTTATGTCAATGTGGACTTGCATATTCTTGGGCCTTGACTCACTGTTGTCATTATTTTCATGTTCAAATTGCCCTAATTTGATCGATGGCAACACTTCACATTGTAGCACTTTAAAGTTGACCATGTTGTGTGTAGGCCATTTTTTTTGGCTGCTTGTGCTAGCCCTGTTGTGAACATACCAGTTTATTCACCCGCTTTTATACTGATGAGCCCTAGGGTGGTTTCAGGTTACTGCTATTCTAACGCTTAATGCTCAGCTTCAAATGTATTAAAACTTTAACATTTTTTAAAAATAAGATTTATTTTATTTGAAAGGCGGAGTTAGAGGAGAGACATAGATCTTCCATCCGCTGGTTCACAATAGCCGGGGCTGCACCGATCTGAAGTCAGGAGCCAGGAGCTTCTTCCAGGTCTCCCACATGGGTGCAGGGGTCCAAGCACTTGGGCCATCTTGTACTGCTTTCCCAGGCCATAGCTGAGAGCTGGATCGGAAGAGGAGCAGCTGGGACTCAAACCGGCGTCCACGTGCGATGTCGACGCTTCAGGCCAGGGCTTTATTTCACCCGCTGTGCCACAGCGCCGGCCCCCCGACATCATACATTTCAGATCCATTTATTAAAACTGTTTTGTACTGTCACTAACAGAGTGTGAGTCAAGCTCACTTTTAAAATAGTCTTCATTTTTCGCTCAAGATTTAATGTCTCCAGATCCGTTTAATAAAGACTTTTTTCTTTAAATAAATTTCCTGTTGGCTTTCCTCTCCTGTTCATGGAGGAGTATTGAAATATGAGAGAAAGTAAAATTGAATGGTGGAAAACTGCACCTCACGGAAAGCAGCGCCAGCGCCCACACGAGAACGAGTTCGGAAGGCCGCGGCTGGCACGCCGGCTCCAGGGCGCAGGCGCAGAAACCCACCCAGCGACCCCACCCCGCTTCCCGTCCGGGAATGGTATCGCGAATCTTGGCTGGGGAAAGTAGTTCTCGCGGGAGTTCGTTGGTTGCTATAGATACGAAAAAGCATTACTGCGGCAGCCGCAGGTAAGACAGTTAACTTCCTCCTCAGAAACTGTGTCTTCTAGCCTCCCACTCCGGACCCTCGTCACCCCAACACGGTGCTCCCTCAGCGAAGGCCAGGCTGGAAACTGGTTCAGACCGGAACGCCCCTCGCCCCGCTAGGCGCCAGCTCTCCGTGTCCACCCCGGGCCCCTCAGGCGCACACTCGCCTGAACCCGCTTTCTGGTGTGGCCTGGCAGCCCGCTCAGTCCTCGCAGCAGACCCAGTGCCGTCGCCCCCTGCCTCTAGCCTGGTTCGGATTGGACTGGCTGCTGCCGCAAGCCTCAGCGAGGGGCGACAGGAGCGCCCGCCTAAACAGCCTGGACCTTAACTTGGAGCTAGTCCGCCTTGTTGCATTCATTGTTCAGCTGCGCCGCGAATGCCTCTGGCCCATGAGGCCTGGTGCTAGGGCTGCAGATGTGACGAAGCTTACCCGTCTTCGCTCTGTTTATGTTACCGGAGGATAGTCACAACGCGTGTGAAATAGGTCTAACGACGTGTGATCCATTGTACAGAAGGCGAAACTGAGGCTGGGACAAGTTAGGCATGTGCTCAGAGTCGTGACGTCATTACGGATGCACGCTCTTGCGCACTCCCAGCCCTCATAAACAAGACAGCTGCGAATGAAGTGTAAAGTGCACCAAGAATCCGCAGGGAAGGCATTAGGAACTCCTGGCAGGGAAACATTTGAACTGGATGGGCAGCTTCTCTCACATAGAGGTGGGGGGGTGGGGGTGGGGCATACGGCAGAAGCGTAAACGTGGCTCAGTGCTGGAGTCTTCGAAACCACTAAGTCAGAACACGGCCTGGGTGACGGGAGAGGCTGACTGCGCTGCTGGATCCTAAGGTCTTGAATGTCTCATTGGTTTAGGGAACGAGACAGTGAGAGCAGATCTGCACTTTGTTACGATGGTTATCGGCCTGCTCAGCCCCCTCCACCTTTTCACAATCTTTTCACTCTGCCTGCCGCATCCTTCATTTTAGTCTGTTTTGCTAGTCCTAGGTCACCTCCCCCAGGATGTCCCAGGCATGTACACCCACATGTATACTCTCAAGTCCAGCTAGGGCCCCACTTCAGCACTTCCTTGTTGTATGACTACTGCTAAGGTGACAGACTTCTCTGAAGCTCTGTTTCCTTTTTCACTAAAATGGAGATATAAATGCATATGAAAGAGCTATCTGTACCCCCGTGTTCATTGCAGCTCAGTTCACAATAGCTAAGATAAGGAATCAACCCAGATGTCCTTCAACTGATGACTGGGGAAAGAAATTATTGTGGCCGGCGCCAACTCATTTGACTAATCCTCTGTCTGCGGCGCTGGCCACCCCAGGTTCTAGTCCTGGTTGGGGTGCCGGGTACTAGTCCCGGTTGCTCCTCTTCCAGTCCAGCTCTCTGCTGTGGCCCAGGAGGGCAGTGGAGGATGGCCCAAGTCCTTGGGCTCTGCACCCGCATGGGAGACCAGGAGGAAGCACCTGTCTCCTGGCTTCAGGTCAGCGCAGCATGCTGGCCATAGCCGCCATTTGGGGGGTGAACCAACGGAAGGAAGACATTTCTCTCTGTCTCTCTCTCACTGTCTATAACTCTCTCTCTCTCTCTCTCACTGTCTAACTCTGCCTGTCAAAAATTTTTTTAAAAAATTATTGTATATATGAAATCCTGTCTTTTGCAACAAATGGATGCAACTGGAAACCATTATACTTAGTGCAATAAGTCAGTCCCAAAAAGATAGCTATCCTCCGCTAATCCTCCGCCTGTGGCACTGGCACCACGGGTTCTAGTCCTGGTTGGGGTGCCGGATTCTGTCCTGGTTGCTCCTCTTCCAGTCCAGCTCTCTGCTGTGGCCCGGGAGTGCAGTGGAGGATGGCCCAGGTCCTTGTGCCCTGAGCCTGCATGGGAGACCAGAAGGAAGCACCTGGCTCCTGGCTTCAGATCAGTGCAGCACACCGGCAGCAATGCGCCGGCTGTGGCGGCCACTTGGGGGGTGAACCAACGGAAAAAGGAAGACCTTTCTCTTTGTCTCTCTCTCACTGTCCAACTCTGCCTGTCAAAAAAAAAAAAAAAAAAAGTATAAGTTTTCCCTGATCTCGGGTAACTAATAGAGTACCTAAAATGTAGTATATTGGAGTGAAACGGA